AGGGACAGAGTTCAGAACTTTATGCAGCAGCCTGTGTCCCTGAAGCTGGGTGGGCAAGGGCCTCTTGTACACTTGAGGGAGACATCAATGCTGGTAGCAATGTCCTTTTCGGTAGCAGGACAGGGACATATAGCTTTGCCACAGGTAGCCCTCCAGGTGATGGCAGAGGTTGCAGTGCAGCCTGAGCTTGCCTCCCGTGCCATTGTAGCTCAGGGTCCTAAACCAGGATTGCAGGTGTGTCCAGGGCACCAGAAGGATTATCAGAGGCAGAGCATAGTGGCTGGTGCACCCCTTCGCCTACATAAACAGCTCATTGAGCACCACCAGGGGCACATGCAGCAGGGCCACACTTGGGTCACAGCAATGGTGTGGCTGGGGGTTGGCCCCCACCTCATGGACTCCCAGTGGTGAGGGCAGGAGTACAGTCATCCCTTCGCCCCAGGTGTTTGGGAGCCCCATGGACCCAGAACCCCGATGTCATAGGCAGGGCAGCAGCATGGCAGAGCAGTTGGCCTGCAGAGAGAGAGTGGGGGAGCAGGGTCTGGAGCCATGGCAGTAGGTGCTTCCATCAGCTTGGCCTGTCCCACCTTGTGAAGGGGCGGGGTAGGCGGGCTGCCTGCAACCAGCACCCAGAAGGCTACTGGCTCCAGCGGAGCAAGGGGAAATGGGGAGCTTGGGTGGCAGTGGATTGGGCCCAGCCTGCATAGCTGGCTTACCATGGTCCCTCGGCACCCATGCATGGCTTACCCCCTATCTGAGGCTAAGCAGGGCATGGCCCCTGGTGAAGAGCATCTTATCTCTGAAATATTGCAAAATCTCACAAAAGACTTCTGTCTCTTGCCTCTGCAGGGCCAACATCTGGACGCAGGGGAGGGCCCACCAGTCCCAGCAGGGATGCAGGCTCTTGGTCGCTACCATGCACTGCTAGAACTGTTTGGATGCACTGGCTGTGCCAGCGGTGCACCATGGTCTGGACCCTCCTGCTGCAGTGGCTGGTGGTGGTGGAGAAGCAGGAGGCGTGAGAGCACACCTGGTGGGCAGGGGATGTCGCCCAAGCAAAGGTGCAGGATCAGGTGTAGCGGGACCACCTGGCCCAAATGGAGACGCTGGAGCAGGAGCACATAGAGCTGCTCCAGCAGCAGAGGGACACTGACTGCTAGGCCCTGGACAACCTCCTAGGCCTGGTGGCAGTGTCCATGCCTCCCGCTGTCCACCCCCACCTGGCCCTGGGAGGAGGTCTTGCAGCACCTTGTGCACACCAGACCCCCATGCCCGGCCCCTGCCCTGGACCTGCTGTCACCCACCTGGCCCTAGCCGCACCACTTTCCCCCATACCATGCACCTGAAGACCTGGCCATGCATGAAGCTGACACCCACTGGGGTTGCCATGGCCTCCAGACCTACAGGGGAACACCCTGAACCTGGCATACTGGGCACCTGCTCTGGGGCTTTGCCCTTTCAACCTCTCCCCACATCACCACCATGGCCCCCCGCTCTGGGCTGGACAACCAAAAATATTGTAGCTTTCCATTTGTAAATAGCTTTCTATTTGTAAATAGTTTTCCATTTGTAAGTGGGTTTTTTATTGTTGTTGCATGGGGAGGGTGGCAGAAGGGCTCTGTTGGTTGAGGAAGGTGGGGGTAGAGGGCTCTATTTGTTGAGAAGGGAGGGATGGAGGTGGGTGTTGTTAGGGAATAAAGTATTTTTGTTTCGACCATCTGTGTATCCTGAGAGTGGTGCTGGGAGTGGGTAGGGGGTAGGAGGTGTGTGACCAGTGAGGCAGGTGGGCTGAAGAAGGGAGTGCAGGAGGAGATGGTTGGCCAAGGGCCTTCCACAGCCAGTGCCCTGAACTCTGCTAGCAGGTGTGCAGCTTTCCTGGGGCCTAGACAGGGGGATCTGCTGCAGCCAGCAGCACCATAGCCAGCAGGAGCGTGGCAGGCTGGTTGTCATGGGCAGGGGCAGGGACTGGAGCAGCTATGGCATGGGGAGGCAGGTGGACAAGGAGGAAGCTGTCTTGTGCTGTCCCTGAACTGGGCATGCAGCTCCTGGGCAAGGAAGGGGCTGTCCAGGGATCAGAGTTTCCAAGATCATAGAATCATAAAAAGGAGGACTAGAAGGGACCTATAAGATCACCAAGTTCAGTCCCCTGCCATGGGTCAGAGGTAATTGGTCTCAAATGAGCTCAACGAGGTATTTGTCCAGCCTCCTCTTAAAGTGCTGGCAGCTCACTTTAGTTTCAACATGGCAGCCATGTGGCTGGAGGCTGGAGCTCCCCCCAGTGGCCACAGGGGGACATGGCAGGACTGGAGGGAACTGGTGCTAACTTTAGTGCCAGTTGCCTGCACCTGTAGACACCTGCCAAAAATCAGTTACTGCACATTAGGCTAATGCACAGTAACTTTAATCATGACTAACTCGATGTGTAGATGCACACATTGTGTAAGAGTGATAGGAGGCCTGATTCTCTGCTTTGTGTTCTTTTTAATAGATTTGTGAACAGATAAATAATGATGATATATTATCAAGTGACATCATTTCATTCACAGATATCTCCTCCAAGTGAAAATGTTATCATTACTAATCCATGGAGACCCTGGTGGGAAAGATACCAGCCAATCAGCTACAAGCTTTGTTCACGATCTGGTAATGAAGATGAATTTATAGACATGGTGACCAGATGCAATAACGTTAGTGTAAGTGTTATTTGAAATTCCTCCTATGTTAATAGTGTGGAGGATACAGAAGGTGTTTTAGGTCTGAAGGCTTGCTTAGCTCATTAGAAGTGAGGAAAAGCATTTCAATCATTGCCTATTCCTAACAATTAGTTATAAGTGAAAATCTCTCAAACTGAGTTGTGAGCAGTTGGAGTTGGAAGGACTCTGCAGTTAGATGCATGTTACATGAAGTAATGTTATTTTTTATTGCCGTATTAATGATGGTCTATAAATTTTTAGCATTCAAAATCAATGATGTAAAAGGGAACTTGGGAGGAAAGCTATGGGCGTCAGAGGAAAAAGAAGCACATTTGTCCCCAAACAGTCTCTGTCTCACTTAAACGGTGAGATGCATATCATAGAATGGTGTCATTGGTGCTGGATATTTAGGAAAATACTTTAGGAAAAATACACAAATAATATTTAATGAAGGAAAGCATTTTAAATGGAAAAAGGAAAGGTGTGTATAACGAAAAGCAGGGTTGGCCAACCTGTTAGAACCTGTTAGATGGCATGGGCAGCCTCTGTTTGGCATGTGACAGACCAGGGAGGGGACAGCCAGTACAGTGGCAGATGCAGCAGGGAGCAGAAGACAAAGCAGCAGATTGGGCAGGGAGCACACAGAAGGAAGGAAGCAAAGAGCAAAAGAGCAGACCAGGCAAGGAGCACAGGGTAGGGAGCAGAAAAGGGACCAGCCAATCCAGCTGAGGAAAGGTATCAGAGTGGTACTTAAAGAGAGTGTGGGACATATTTGTGGCACACCTGCCAAAAAGGTTGGCCCCTACGGATCAAAAAGTGGAGGCTGGGGGAATAATACAGTCAATGACATTCCAGAAAATGGTTCCATTAAAATCAAGTGTAAACTCTGCTCTTTAGGTTCATATTTATGTGGATGCTGTAATAAACCACATGTGTGCATCTGGTCTTGGCTCTGAAAACAATGCGACCTGTGGAAGTTATTTCAATGCAAAGACAAGAGATTTTCCTGCTGTGCCGTACTCAGGCTGGGACTTTAATGATGGCAAATGTAAAACTGGAAGTGGGGGCATCGACAATTACGGGGATCTTGAACAGGTAAACTGAACTGTGAAATATATTTTTTCCTTTTTTTCCCATGTTTTTCCTTTCCCACTCTTCCTTACTAGTTTTACTAGTAAAACTGAGGTGTTTACTGGTCAGAAAATAGCTCAACAATAGAAAGAAAATACCTCATATAACATAGTCTCTTGGTTATTTAATTAATGAAAGTGATTAAAACAGCATAAATAACCTAGGAGAACAGGACCTACAGAAATATTGGAACTGGGAAAATAAGTCCTTGGCAATCACTATTGAAGTTCTAGTCCTTTCTGTTTGTGATTAGGCAATGATTTTCTTAAATTGTTGTGTTTTTCAAAATGATTAAAAAGTAATCTCTGTAAATACGATTTTTGCATTGGGATCTGGAGCCTTTAAGAAGCATTTGAAAGGCCAACTCTGCAGTTGGATGCATAAGGTATATGATGTTTTCATTGCCAAGTGGGTTTTGAATTTCTTTCAAAATTGGATTTCAAATCTAATTAATCTCAAGTGTGCATCAGAAATTAACTTTCCACAAATATTCTAAAACCACTTTTATTTCAAGGAAAATTCATGTCAGTAAACTTATAATATTTCTAACTGGAAAGAGACAAAAAGGGTATACACAAGGTGAATGTGTTTCAAATTTTGAAATGATATTTATGGAAAACTTTTGGAATTAATCCACTTCCAAGAAAATATCACACGCGTGTCAAGAGAAAAGTAATATGTGCTCTGGAAGTGAACAACATTGTTTTGTCTGTAAGTAATATGAAGTAAAAGTGACATCTATTAGTGATCTATGTTTACTTGAAAAATGTCTGAGTACAGAATTAATTTACTTCTTTTCATTTTTTTTCTGTAAATCACAAAGTGAGTGTAAAATGTTATTAAAAATGCCTGTTTTCTGCAGATATAAACAAATGTACTGCATAACACGTAGTGGAGAATTGGGCCTAACAGATAAATCAGGGATTTGTTAATCCTACATTATGCTGTGAGTTTCAATGACAAATGAAAAAAATATGTTTAGAACACTAGATTTATAATGTTGGATTAAAAAGGACTCAAATCAACATCTAGGCTTTTTTAAACAGGTCCGTGACTGCCGCCTGGTTAGTCTTCTTGATCTTGCACTGGAGAAAGACTATGTACGTTCAAAGATTGCTGAATACATGAACTACCTTATTGATATTGGTGTAGCAGGCTTCAGAATTGATGCTGCCAAGCACATGTGGCCTGGGGACATGAAGGCAATTTTAGATAAACTGAAAGATTTAAATACTGATTGGTTTTCTCTAGGATCGAGACCTTTCATTTACCAAGAGGTAATTTACTTTTATTTTTTTTCTAAAGCAACAATGGTTGTTTTTATCCAAATACAGTGTGTGCTCAATACTGCCTTAGTTTTTTGTTGAATCTGTACCCAAGTGTTCAGCACCTTGCAGAACTGCAGCTCCTATGAATTAAGGCAGAGACTTAAGATCTAAATATTCATGTGCAGTGTTTGGTCTGCACAACTGGAGTCTTCTGGTTTAGAAATCACAATACCTTGGAAATAGTTGAGGTGAAATACAGGTCTCATTCAGATCCCTGTCAAAACCTGACCTCAGTGGAAAGAAGACTTCCCACTTGGCTTTTACACATACTCACACTTTAAGTATGTAAATGGTACATAAAGAGAATCAGGTCTCAAAAGTTTAATTTCCTGTTGCTCTAATCTGTGCTATCTGGCAATCGCCTAAATTTCAGTGAAAAGGTTTGAACTGCAATGAAGCTGATTAGGAGTCAATTGCAGTTGACTTCAGCTGGGCTCTCAGGGAGTATATTTCATTTCAGAAGCAGCGTGTGTCAGTTTTCCATTTTTTCCTTTTCTTGAAATGTTTAGTTCATGTAGAAATTTTGAAACAAAAATACCCTTCCCCCAGTTGTCAACAATTTGGAATTTGTTTTCTTTCAAATTTAATTTAAAAAATTGGCCAGTTCCAGTTGTTGGGTTTTATTCCTTGTTCCAACCCCTCCTCCATCCAGCCCCTCCTCATTCCAGCCCCTCCTCCTTGCATCCAGCTCTCACTAATTGAATGCTGCACCACTTCTATCTGTAAAAGAGAAAACAGAAAAAGAAATAAAAATTCACTGGTCTTTACATAACAAAGCAAAGAAAAACGTAAGGAATAGCTCTACACCTAACTGGATGAATAACCTCTTCTTCTAAAATTGGCATTAGATATAAACAGAGATCTTTGTAAGAAGTAGGAAATTAGTTCAAAAACAAAGTTACTGTTTATCCTTAAACTACTTCGTTTCTAAAATGTAAAGTGAGCATTGCTATAAGTCAGGATGAGTTAAAACTAATAGTTACAGGGGTTTTTAGTCATAAAGAAGGAGAGAGAGAACAAGAGAATAAGGGAGAGGAATGGGTTTGCTATGCAGACACAGGGAAGTCGGGTTTACAGATAATTTAGGTACGGCAGAAAAACTAAATGTATGCTTTTCCGTTGATTTCATTAAGGAATATAAGATAAGATACGGGGACACAGGCAAGACGGGTAACAGGAATGAATGTATGGAAACAGATATTACCATACTGGGGTTGGAAGCAGAACTCAAATAGTTTAATATGCTTGGGTCAAACAAACTGGATAATTTCCATTACAGAAAATTTGAACAATAACACATGGAATTACAAGTCCAGCAGCAAGGTTTTCTAATGAATCAGTTTTTTTCTGGGCATGATAACATATGCTTGGAAAATAGAAATATATTACCTGAATGAGAATATATTGCATACAAAAGCTTGTCTAAGTCTATCCCACTCATTCAGTTGTTCCAATAAAAAATGTCACCTGCAAACACCTTTGCTTCTTGCAAATATAATATATATATATACTTAATGAAGGGGTGGGGAAGAAGGGAATGATCCAGGGCAGTACAGTCTCTTTGGCCTGACCTCAAAGACTTTAGAATGAATTTGAAAGGAAAAAATAATTAGAGACAGAAATAAATACAAAACTGGGATAAACTGCAACATGAGCCAATGAAAGGTAGATCATGCACAGTAGCACAGTATCTTCCTTTGTTTAAGAAGTCAGCTATCAAGGGAAATGTGGTAGATCTAATCTGTTTTGATATCTGCTAATGTATTTGAAGATGGTGCCACATGGGAAATACTTGTGAAGATAGAGAAGGTGAGGATTAATATAAGAATTGAAAGGTGCGTAAGAAACTGACTAAGGGGATTTAAATGCTAAATGACTAACTGGTTCATACTGAAAACAGAACTAGTGTCCTGTAGGGAGGTTACTAGTGGAAATTCTAAAATATCAGTCCTAAACCTAATCTTATTTAATATTTTGATTAGCAACACTGGTGCACAATACAGGACCTTGCTAATTAAATTTATTGATAGATGGACGATTATTATCAGTACAGAAGAGGACTGAGATATTCTATAGAAAGAACTGAATGACCCTGAGGACTGGACTATAAATGGGATGAAATTTAATAACACAAAGGAAAGCTCATTAAGTCCAAGATGACTTTGACTTTAAGACAATCCACCACTATTCAGATTCTTCACAAGGGAAATTTATAAATTTATAATTTTCCTAGTAAATAATCTAATTATTGGAGGATCATCTTAAATTTGTCCCTGGGATGCCGCAGCTACCTGCTACCTGCAAATCCAAAGCAAAAGGATTTTTTCCCTACGCTGAATGAAAAACAAAACCTTGTTTTTGATTCAAATAAATATGGTAATTAGCAAAATTAATCTGAACTCAGGCAGAAGACAGGAAACAAGTTAGTTTTTAAAGTACCACCCTGCTCTGCCTTCTGCCTATAAATACATGAGGGAAGTAAACAGAGAACATCCATTTAAGCTAAAACCATTAAATAACTAGGTTACCAGAATAACAAGGAAATCAAAATGGCCATGAATTGGTAGCCAGGATATTACAAGGAGAGATTTATGACAAGGCTAGTGTAAGCAAGAAACCCACCTTGTTTTAGTATGCAACTCGATCACTATATAAACAGCGTTGTGTTATGCGGTTGTTTGTGTTAGTATAGAACACACAATGACTTGGGAAACCTATTAGATTCCTAATTATCTCTAGCACAGTTAATAATTTAAAATGTTAATTCAATTTATGGACCCAAATCTCCTAGCAATGGCCCCTTAACTTCAAGACTGTGATTTTATCCTCTTTATCCTCAAACTACGCCTTTTGATTATGGCAACGGTGATTTATTTTCTAAAGCTACTACTCATGGCAATAATGTTGGGGAAAAGACAGGCATTCTTAATTTTGCTCAACAACATTTCATTTTTAAAGAAATAGTGAGCTGGAGATTAGCAAATAAACCGGCACTTTTCTGTTGTCCCAACTGACTTTTTCTCACCTAAATCTAGCATCTGGGGTTATTTGCTATATGTCCTTTTCAATACTCTGGAGTATATAACCAACATTTTTCACTTCAACCAGGTAATTGACTTAGGTGGAGAATCAATCAAAAGCAGCGAGTACTTTGGAAATGGCCGAGTGACTGAATTCAAATATGGTGCAAAATTGGGGACAGTCATACGGAAATGGAATGGAGAAAAGATGGCTTATTTAAGGTAAAAAAAAAAAAAATCTTTTACTCTAATCAGTACATTACAGCTTGCATAAATGATTATTTTCAAAGGATCTAACTCTTCCACTGTTTGCTTAGGAACTGGGGAGAAGGCTGGGCGTTTATGCCTTCTGATAAAGCACTTGTCTTTGTGGATAATCATGACAACCAGAGAGGACATGGTGCAGGTGGAGCCTCTGTTTTAACTTTCTGGGATCCCAGGTAAGGGTCATCTGTGTGAACCTATCTTTCTTTTCTTTGTTTCCCATTCCTTATTCTCATTTCATTTTTTTTATTTTTCACTTCAGACAATATAAAATGGCGACGGGCTTCATGCTTGCCCATCCTTATGGATTTACACGTGTGATGTCAAGTTTTCGGTGGCCAAGATATTTCCAGAATGGAAAGGTAGGTTTCTATCATTTGGAAATAAATCGAGTAGAATAAAATGGACCCCTGTGTGGAGGGACAGGACCTACACCCCACTTACATTCTGTGAAAGGCCTTAGGACAGGATTAGAACTTGAGTGATTGTTGAGCCTTGCATTTCCTCTGTGTATGGGAATGAATTTTATTCTGAATGTTACAGCTGGCCTTACCACCCTTTCTAGCTGCCACCCACCATCCCCAGCAGATTAATTCAGTGTTCTATTTTTATGTTTAACAAAAGGATATTAATGATTGGGTGGGACCACCAAGCTTTGAGGATGGAACAACCAAACCTGTTACAATTAATCCAGATACCACTTGTGGAAATGACTGGGTCTGTGAACATAGATGGCGCCAAATAAGGTAGGACACAGTAGAGATAAATTTAAATACAGGTGATATAGTTCCCCATATGTTTTTTCACCAGATGGTAGAGGTGCAGAGGGGATATTTTCATGATGGTCAAGTCCATGCATTTCTTTTTTCAGGAACATGGTTATTTTCCGAAATGTGGTTGATGGACAACCTTTCTCCAACTGGTGGGACAATAATAGCAATCAAGTGGCCTTTGGACGTGGAAATAAAGGATTTATTGTCTTCAATAATGATGACTGGTAAGCAGTTGGGGTCAAGAGATTGAGAAGCAAGGTTATCCCCTGGCCAATGGAAAGAACTGTCTACCACAGTGTTGTAATGGGATAATTCATGGCTCATCCCTTTCATGGAGAATTATAAACTATGGGACAGCTCAGAACTATAATCTGTTACAAATTCAAATTTACCTCTCCTGTCCCAAAAGCTCTTTCCAGAAAGTTACCACTCTGCTGCTGTTTCCTGATCATTAGACTCAAACTCAGCAATAAAAAGGCTGGTCAGCTGGATATGCCTCATTATGTAGATGTGAGAGAGATCTTTGACCATATATGGGAACCTGTCTGAAGAGAAAAGTGGGGAAGGGATAAAAGAGATAATTTTAGGGAAGTAAATAGAAAATTGATTGAGGGTAGTGTGACAGCTACTGGTACTGTTTTGGGGAGTATAGGATCCCACTCAGCCCCAGTGGCCCCAGCTCCCAGATGGCGCACGGCATCCTGCCGAGCCACACTGCACCCATGCCATGGGGCAGCTGCTGCGCAGGTGCCTGGTGGGGGGTGGGCGGTGATCTGTGCTGCCCCTGCTTCCCCACACTATGCTGGGGGGCTCTGCCACAAGCTCTCAGAGGCCCTGATCCCTGCTGCTGCAGCCAGTGAATGTGGGGCTTTTCTTTCTTTTTTTTTTTTTTAAGTGCTGGGAGGCTGGGGCCAGGCAGAGTAGCCATGGGGGCTTCTCCCATGGCTGCCTCCACCCAGAGAGAGGCAGGCACAGCTTGAGGAGCTGTGGGAGAACCTGCAGCCACCCCCGGCTGTGCCTACCTCTCCCCGGCCAATCCAAAACTCTGAATCCCTCTGAATCTCTCTGAACCTTTTCCGAATTGATTCTCTGAATCAGAACAAATCTCCTCCAAATTGAATTGGTGACCAAAGCTTCACACAACCCTAGTATGCATACCCTTGGGGGTACTTGGAAAGTGGCGTGGGTGGGTGGGGACGGAGCACTGCCACTCACCACCCCGCACTGCTGCCTCCCAGGAGCAGGCGTCACAGCCTCTGTGGGCTGTACAGGTGCCACCTGGCCAGCTGGACATGGGGGTAGAGGGGAAGCTTGCAGCCACTGCCCTACACCGCTGCTGCATGCAAGCCCCCCTTCTGCTCTGTGTCTGGCAGCCACCCCTCCCCACTCCGCCATAAGTGTACCCAGAAGGGGTACACTCCTTAAAAAAGGTTGAAAGCCCCTGGTTTAGAGGTACTGGAGTCCCACATCCAGTTTGAGGCTTGATACTTGAAGAAACACATGGACAAAATAAAAATACTCCAGTGGAGAGCAAAAGAAAATAAATAGAGAACTAGGAATCCTAATTTAAGAGAAAAGGATGGAATAACTATTTTATTTGGGGAGGAGAAAACTTACAGTGATTATATGGAGAGTGGTTATATGGAGGGGTCAGAACAAGAAACAATGGCTTTGAATTGCAGCAAAGGAAATTTAGGCTAGTTATTAGGAAGAATTTTCTCACTGTAAGGGTGTTTAAGTATTTGAACAGGCTACCTAAAGAGGCTATATAATCTCCTTCCTTGGAATTTTTTTTTTTTAAGAGCAAATTAGACAAACACTTGATTGGAATATTTTAGAAAGCCTTGAGTGGGAGGGGGAGGGGGCAGGGAGGGGTGGACTAGAGGCCTCCTGCAGTCCCTTCCATCCCTTCTTATCAGTGATTCTAAGAGGCAGAAGTGCAGAGGAATATAAGGTGTTCAGTTCTAGTCAGTGAATTTTCATTGCTCTGTTAAGGTTTGACTGTTAAAGGCTCTACTATGTCTCTCTGCCTAAAACAAAGACATTCTGTTTCCAATGAGGCCTTCTTTCAATCTGAATATTCACCTAAGTGCCAGATTCACAAACACATTCAGGCTCCTAACTCATGTATATGTGCCTAATCTCCCACTGAACTCAATAAGCAAAGCTTTTTGATTCCCTGAAAACACCACTCCCTCATAACATGAGGCTGAAGTTACTTCCTACTGCACATCATTCCCAGCCTCTGTTGCCTTGGGGAGGAAAAGTCCTTACCCAGGAATAAGTCTCCAGTCTCTACCACTATAATATAGAACATCAACCCCACAGTCATCACATGAAGCTTTATAGTCAGACAAGTAGTTGCATTTGAACATCGGAATAACACATATTTAATTTCTGCTTTTACATAGGTACTTGAATGTAACACTGCAAACTGGCCTTCCTGCTGGCACTTACTGTGATGTTATTTCTGGACAAAAGAATGATGACTACTGCACTGGATTAGAAATTGATGTTGCTAATGATGGCACAGCTAATTTCCAGATTAGTAATAATGACGAAGATACTTTTATTGCCATTCACGTGGATGCAAAAATGTAATCAAAACTATATGCCTTTTTCTCTTCTCCTTATGTTTTTAGCACGCAGGCATGTATAATTCTCTGTCTAGAAATATCTCACAAGGAATAAAAAAGCATAAAAGTATTTGGTTACACTTTTAATAAAGAAAAACATCATTTCTGTGCTACCATTATACAGTAATTATCACTAGTGCTAATACAGATTAGTAAGTATGATACTAGTAGCATGGTATAGAAATGCAACATTTTATTCACAAGAAGCAAAAGAATGAAAAATAAAAACATTAAACACCAAATTTAGGATTAGTGACTGGCCTCTTTTTCACTCTCATAAATAGCAGAATAAATTAAAAGCTGAGAAAATGGCTGAAACAAAAGCAGCTTTTTTCTCCTGAGCATGTTTACTTATATGCTGTGCAACGTCTGTACCATTATGAAAAGACACCTTTGCGAAAAAAAAAACAAAAAAACATTCACTTGCAGCCAGGTTTGAGCTGGGCACAGAATAAGGGAGCCTTGTCATGCTCACTGCAGCTTTTGTGTTCTGGAGCAGACAGGATCCCCACTGGTTTGCTTCTCCTGATAGCAGCTCACTGGAAAGCTAACTGGGAGACAAGCTGCTGGCCAAGAAAAAGACATATTTTGCACTTTTTAATGGGGTTTTCAAATTATGCTTCACACTTACGGAAGCAGCTCTTTGAGGCAGAGTATCTCCACCTTACTCTGCAGTCTGTCTGACCTGATATTATGCTTACAGAGTGTGATCTTCTACATTGCTAGTATCCTTAGTTTAATATCACAGTGCAATATTTTATATATTGGTGACAACGAAAGCATGGGAATCTTGTCCAGCTCTTGTAGTATAAATAACTGAGAAACAAAAACATCAGTGTATGCTGTTTATTTTTATATTTTAGCGATTCAAAGTTGCAATTCAAAGTGCTACAAGGTGAATGCTAATAATGAAAGTAACATTCCTCTAAATCATTTTTTCTGTGGCAAGAGGGATGCAAAGATTTCTCTCTCAGGCTTCCCAGCAACCTTTAGACTGGCCTCAGGCATGGTAGTGTGATAAGAACTGACACAAATAGGTTACCATTTTGGAAAGTCAGTTACACAATCTAAGTAAAACTATTAAGCCAGTTCTGCAGAGGATTTTCAATCTAGTCTGAATTCCTCTAGTACTTATTGCTATGATAGTAATTGAATCATTTTTGTGGTGGGGTGGGGGCAGAATCCTCTTTTGCCATGTAGATGTTTAAATACCACTAGGACACTGTTTATGTACCTACCCTGCTAAGTGCAATTTTACTTGACTTCTTATTTTGCAATTGTACTTACACATGTAGGTGCACTTATGTGCCTACACTTTAACCAGGTAAATTGCCATTGCAGTTACTGAGCACACATTATCTTTAGAGGTATACAAAGGCTTCCTGCAACCCAGAGTAATTCTTTTCCACTTCTCTTGTCACCCAAAGTCTGTCTGGGCTTCACAGCTAATTTGGACCTGAAGTACATGTGAGGGGCCACAAGAGCCTCATGTGGCTGTAAGGTAGGGCTGTGCGAGGCTTTGGACAGAGCTTCGGATCCGGAGAAGCTTTGGAGGCTTTGGGGTCTGAAGCAGCACATCTGGGTCAAAGCGCTGGCCTCGTTAGGCTTCCCAAAGCGCATGGGAGCCACCTCGGAGATCCGGCCATAGGGTATAATGGGGAAACAATAAAATATATATAACTTTGTTGTTTTTTGTCTGATTTGGATGAAATTTTCAGTGGTGGTAGACTCTGCAGAGAAACGAAGCCTGACAAGTTTCAAGAAGATTGGTGCAGGGGTTTGGGGGGAACGGCACCTCAAATTCTTGAAAGCAAAACTCATGTCAAGTCTAGGTGTTACAACATAGCAGGGTGAAAACTGCACTTATTGAGGCCACAAAGCCTGCCAAGTTTCAAGAAGACTGGTGCAGGGGTTTTGGGGCAACTGTACCCCAAATTATTGAAAGCAAAACTCCTGTCACATCTATGTGTTCCAACACAGTGGGGTCAAAACTGCAGGGGTGATAGCTCTTACTGAGGCCACAAAGCCTGCTAAGTTTCAAGAAAATCAGTTCAGGGGCTAGGGGGAACTGCCCCTCAAGCTGCGGACAAGCAAAACTCGTGCCATGGGTGCTGTAGGAATGACTGTGTTTGTCTTAGGGTGGGGAGGGGGGGACGTTACTGCAGGCCTGGCTGCTAAGCTACTGTGTTACCAGTTACCAATCAATCAATCATGATTCACTCAGGGACCAGGGTCTCAGGGACCAGCTCAATACACAGGACCTAGCTACTACATAACGGCTTAATGAGCATCAATTAACACCTACAAAACCAGGCTAAGGAGAGGAAAGAATCAATACAGACAATCAACTGCCCCAAGACAGAGACAGTCTTGGCACGAGTTTTGTCTGTCAGCAGCTAGGGGTGCAGGGCCCCAGAACCCCCCTGCACCGATCTCCTCCACAGCTGGCAGGCGTCATGGCCACAGCAGGGGCTACCATCCCTGCAGTTGTCACCCCGCTGCGCCTTAACACACACACAGTGTCACCTATGTCATGAGTTTTGCTTGTCAGCAGTTTGAGGTGCAGTTTTCCAGAAACCCCTGCATCTGCACCTATCTCCTTGAAACTTGGCAGGCTTTGTGGCCTCAGTAAGAGCTACCAAACCTGCAGTTTTGACTTCCTGTGGTGTAACACACAGCTGTGACACGAGTTTGGCTTTCAAGAATTTGGGGTACAGTTCCCCCCAAACCCTGCACCAATCTTCTTGACACTTGGCAGGTTTCATGCTCTTAGCAGAGGCTACCATCCCTGCAAGTTTTATCCAAATTGGACAAAAAAACCCAAAGTTATAGATATTTCATTAATTCCCCCTTGAATGAAATTTCTCCTTGAAATGGAGATCCTATGGCCAGATCTCCAAGGTGGCTCTGAAGCTTTGGAGCCGCTTTGGCCAGATCAAAGTGGACACCCTGTCGCAGAGCACTGAGGTGCTCTGCTTCTAGAGAGGGGAAACTGCCAGGGAA